CCGGCAAACTTTAAAGTCGAATGAATGTCACGTGATGTTGTTAACCCTGAGACATGTTTTTGAAAAATGCAAGACCTCTGTTTTTGCTAAACCATTGTGAGCAAAAAAAAATAGGACCCCACCAAAAGTGTCCATCAAGCCTTTCCGTCGATTGTTTTGATTATTGCCTCTTGAAAGAAAGGCAGCACCACAAGCTTCCACTCTTCTTTTTAAGAAACACATAATATTCACACAAAATATTTATAAAGAATAATTATGTGAAAAAGTTGAAGGCAGAAATTATAATTATGGCAAAGGGCAATGGTGAAGAGCAGGATGCAGAATTAGGGTGCCTGGGGTCGTCCCAAGGGTGTATAGGCGGGTTGCGAGGAGAGTCGTGACGTCCAATTTGGTCCATTTTGCAGCAAGTCATTCGGGGACATGGGATCTTGATATGGATGGCATCGGGATAATCATCGGAAAATGGGATACTTAATACACATGAGAATGCAATAAAAATTTTTGGTCGGAGTCCCCCTTTAACATGTTATCAAAAATTACTGTTTCAAGTTTTTTTACAAAGTGAATTGTTGAAAATAAAGATTAATTGTTTGCCTATACATCAGTGTATACAATATTCACCTTCTTTGTTCAAAGTTATAAGAATGCTCTGTCCCCCTCTGTGGACCATTGATTACATGGCCCATAATTTTCGAATCTCGCCAGTTTCCGCTTATCTTGTCATCTCCTTTCCTTTCGCTTTTTTTTGTAAATTTAGGATGCCTCCAAAAAAAAGACGTCAGTCAGTCATCAATTATACACCCTCTTCTCCTCCTTTACTTTTTTTTGTAAAGCGAGATTTCTCGTCATTTTTTGGTCCACCTACTCACTCATCGCTTTTTTGCTCCACCCACTTTTGGCTCTCTTCTTCGAAGCTCCTCCCCTTTTTTTGCTGTTTCGTTTTGTCTCGACTCTCTTCCTCTCTCCAAGCTCCGCCCCCTTGAGCAGCGACGGAGCTCAGTCGACATTCACAAGGCAAAACGAGCTTCGAGTGAGCCGAGATTTTTCTTTTCTCTTCGTTTTTTCGAATTTTTAAACTTCTGACTTTTAGAAAATCACTGTTTCATTTGAAAGTCTTCATAGAAGTTTAATTAATCTCTCCCATTGATAAGTTGATTTTACATATAAACTTCTTTTTCCAGGAATCCTCAAATCTTTGGTAATTCGTTGTCTTCGAAAGGGACTCTTGAACTATCTGCTCCAAACGTTCTTGAACATCTTCCGGAAGAATCCGGATACACTTTTCGAGTTGAGAGAATATCTCAAGATGGAGGGGAAGTGGATTTTGAGCGTCGAGCAGTACTTTGGTATGTTGAACTTTATCTTTTTCATGCTTAGCTAGATCAACTTTGATTAATTTAGTTAGCTTGAAGCTCAAATCTAGTCTGAAGCATAAAGCTAGTTTGGAGTTTGAAACAAGCTTGCAGCTTAAATTTAACATGCTAAAGTTGGCTTCAAGCTTCAGTCTTGGTTGAATCTTCAAACTAAATTTGAGCTAGATTGAATCTTGAAGCTAGCTCAAATTTTTAAAAGTTAAATTGCAGCTAGTTCAGTTGGCTTGAAGCTTGAAATTTAGCTTGGCCTTTTTATGCTTAATCTTTATAGGCTTAACTTTCTGAGCGCAACTTTCAGGCGTCATTTTTTGAATTAATCGTTTCAAGCTTCACTTTAAAAGGCTAGTTTTAAGCTTAACTTTCTTTTTGGCTTAAGCTTTTTTCACCTATAATTCAGCTGTTTGAACTATCCTACCTTAAAGTTTACCTTGTCGTAATTACAGTAACACTATTGAAAAACCGTAATTTTAACATTTTCTGTGAAATATAGTCAACTTTAGTCCTACAAAAAACATTCCATAATTTTTCAATTCGTCTGAAAATATCAGAGTATACTAAACAAAATAAGAGCTTCATTTTTGTAGTTGACAACATTTTTGTACAAAGCAAACAAAGTAAATTATATGGTTTGAGCTGATGTGGGCATTTCCGGCATTTTCGGCATTTTCGGCATTTTCGGCATTTTTTTTGGCATTTTCGGCATTTCTAATGTTGTCATTTCAGCTGATGCTCGGTTTTTGGCATATTCGACACTCCGTTTACATTAGAATGACATTTGTAACACTTCCAGTGCCTAAATAGCTTGTTTAAGACTTTCAAGCAATGCATCAAGTTTTGTTAGATTTGGCTAATAATTGCGCTGCTGAAAATTAGCAGGAGATGTCATTTTGTTCAATTATGAGTCAGTTTTCAGTTTAGGTGTTTGAGCTTAAAGGGTCCGTTGGCTGAGAATCAAACGTTTAAGGATACTGACCTAATTTGAGATTTCTGACTTAATTTCAACTTTTCAGAACTCTGGCGCATCTTCAGCGAGCACACCGTGCTCACTGGCGAAAAGGTGCTTCCAAAGCTCCACGAGCAAATCTGCGCTATTCCAATCAAGTCCAACACCCGCATACAAAACGTCAAGCTCATCGAAGCCTATCTCCAGAAGACCGAGGCGATTCTTCAGGAAGAGAGCGACAAGGAGAAGTTCGAGTACACCGATGGAGAGAAACGTCATCAAACGGATGGGGGAGGACCAACAATGAGTCTGTACTACATTCAAAAGTTGAAGAAGAAGTTGTCTCCTGCGAAGATCTTGAGACTCATCGAGGATGGACGTCTTCCACTGCTTGTTATCGATGAGACTTGCTTGGTTTGCAGTTTGAGAGTCAATATGGAAGAAGAGGAATTCCTTGTGGCCAGGAACAAGGTTTGGGAAAACCTTCCAACGTTTCCAAATGATCCGAGGACTCCAGAAGAGAAAGCAGAACGGAAGATCACGTTGGATGAGATGACAAGACGATGGGTTAGGGTGAGTTGGAGATACAGTACCGGTCATTAAGATACTGTAGAACCTGTTATAGGCCCCTAACTTTTAATATTGAGGACTTTATGCATTTTTGATATCTCTTATAAAAATTGAGATAATTGAGCTCAAAGTGAAAATATAGGGGACCTTCTATTAGAACGTTTACGGTAACTTATGGACCGGTACTGTACACATTTCTAACATCAATCGATTATCGAATTTTTTATTCCAGAGACCACTCGATGAGTATCCACCGATCCTTCGTGAGTTTCATGACAGGCTCAACTTGCACTGGAAGAGAAAGTGGACCCCACCAATGTTTTACGAGTTCTACGGCGAGCTGAACTTGCTTCTGATGAAGTTGACCGAGGATCGGCTGGCTGGAACTGGACTCTTTGCACCGGGAGTTGAAGAGGCTGAAATCGCGCGAGACGCAGAGAAAGCCGCGGAGAAGGCAGCCAAGGAAGCGACGGATCTGATCAATGTGGGTGAGGAAGCTGGATCGGATGCTTCGGAGACTTCAGAGGCTCCAAAAGATGCTCCAGCAGCTCCAGTGGGCTCGGATAACGCAGAATTGACTGCTCCAACGGGCTCAGATGCTCTGGAGACTACAGAGGCTCAAACAAATGCCGAAATGGGGACTTCAAACGTCCAAGTGGCTTCAGAAGACGCCACAGTAGCCTCAGAAGGCTCGGATAACGCTGAAGACGCTCTGAAAAGCCTCATCTGAATTTTCTATTCTTTTTTTGATCTACTGATCATCCATTTTCTGTATCTATCGCTTGCGAAATTTCCCTTCTCCTCTGATTCTCTTAAATTTAATGATCTCTTGTTGTCTAATTTCCCTGATAATGGTCCCGGCCCGGAGGCTCCAGACGCCTCTTTTCCTGTCTCCTGTCTTTTGATCTATCGAGCTAAATGCTCCAAAGAAGGTCTATCAGATTATTTTCTCCTGTCCTTTCTGATATTTTTTCAGATTTTTTTTTCGATCTAAACACTGTCTCGATCTCAATCGCTTTCTGATTTTTCATTTTCTCTGGAATTTATTGATTTTTTTCAGCAATTCACTTTTCGTCCTAAATCTGTCCCGTTAATTTCTTTTCCACTTTATTCTTTGTTAATTGCTTTGATTTGATTCTCTTTCTCGGTAGATTCGAACGTAAGATTGAACTTGAACTGTGCAGTTTCTTTTATGCTGAATAAATATTGCTTGGAAAATTTTGTAGATTTCCAAAGACAATTCCTGAAGGAAGGGAAACAAGGTACTTTCCAGAGGTTTTTTGAGGTACGGTAAGCACGGATAGGAAGATTTATGGCTTTTAGCTTTATTAATAGACAAGACACGGTTCTAACTTTTTTCATTTTGTAGTACTTCTTGAGTTCTACACGTTGAATAATTTGCGAAATTTGATTTTTTTTTTCTGATTTCTTGGCGCTTTTCCCGATACAGTGGAAAATTAGCTTTTTCGGCATTTAAAAATTCTAGGTCAAAATTTTTAATTTCAAAATAGGTAACAATTATGAAGGCGGGAAAAGCACACAAAATGAGCCAAAGAACGTCAAATTTGGTTAAGAATTGAAGGAGGAGATACATTTTTCAGAAAATCACCTGAAAAATTCAATTTTTCGAGGTTTTGCTGACCTGTTCGAATACCACCGAACGTATATTTTTTTGAATTAGGTAACATTTGTGCAGAATTTTGTGGAGAACATTTTGATATAAATTTTTCCTAAAAAATCTCAAAAATGAGGGAGGAGAAAGGAACTTTTAAACTTTTTGATTTTTGGTTTTTTTGCCGATGCACGAGAAACGCGTCAACAAACACTAGCTGTGCTTTTTTCGTGATTTATTCACCGTGTTCTATGATATCTGATATAGTTTGTTCAAAACATATTGAGCTTAATGAAGAGTATCATACCACCAATGAAATCGGCCCAAGTCAGTCAGTTTGCAAGGATGCATGAAACAGTACAGAAATTCCGGCTCTTTAGGACAAGGGGGGGGGCCCATGAGAAAAGGGGGGGGGGGCAAGCGAAAAGGGGGGCACATAGGTAAAAATGTGGACTAAGTTAAGATTTACCAATTTTTTCTAGTTTTTCGAATGTTTCTATAAAAATTTAGTACTTTTCGCTTGTTTCCACTAAAATTTGTCACTTCAAAAAATTTCAGTATAGGCCGGTTTTTTTTTTGCATAAACAACACTATTTTTTCCATTTTAACTGTGTAATTTGAAGTTATTCAGCTAGTTTCAGTTTTTTCCAGGATTAGTAACTAAAAAATAGACAAAAAAAATATGCAAAAAATGACATAAACTGAAATTTTCAAAAAATTATGAAAAGGGTTCAAAGTTCGAAATTTTAATGAAAACGGTCACAAAACTAGAAAAAATTGGTAAATCTTAACTTAGTCCACATTTTTACCTATGGGCCCTTTTTGACTTGGCCCCCCCCCCTTTTCTCATGGGCCCCCCTTGTCATAAAGAGCCGAAATTCCAAATTTTTGTATTGCATTGAAATGTTTTAAAAGTCATGTATTTTCCTAATCTTATCGCAAAAATTGGAAAAATCCAGAATCCTCGAAAAGGCAGTCAAAAATATACAAAAGTTAGTTCACAGCCGTCCGCCGCCTTCTTTCCCAACTTTTCCAGGCTTTCAAGTTTTTTTTCAGAAAGCTGGAATTTCGGACAAAAATCGGTGAATATATTTGAAAAAAATTGCAAATTGGAAAATGGCGAACCCTCGTCCTTCTTCCCTATTAAAATCTTTTTCCACAAAAAAACATTTTGGTCGTCGGAATTCTCAAAATTCATTTTTAGAATTCTGACGAAATTAGAATGTCTTGCGTTTTAAACTGAAAACTCAGAATTTCTAACTTTTTTTGGTGTAGGTGAGTCTTCGTAAAAAGCAAAAATAAATTTTTAGATACGGTAGTTTCAGATAATTTACCACATATCAAAAGTTTCAGAAGTCAGTCAAATCTATTTTGGCAATTTCAATTTTAAAAAAAGCTAATTCTAAAGATTCAAAAGTGCAATTTCTGAAATTTCTGAAAAAAGGAAACGTTGAATTGATTATTTTTCTCAAGTTTTGTATTTCTTCTTCTGAAATTGTCTTTTTTTCTGAAAAAATCTGAAAACAAAAAAAGGATTATAAGTTTTTTTGGATTACTGTAGTTCGAAGCCTCTTTAGTTTTGATCGTTATCTTTCGATTTGTGAATTTTAATTCATTTGAATGAAAAAAAGTCTAAATTTTTTACCAAAAATTTTTGAAACAGCAAACAATTTTTTCCAATTTTTTACAGGTTTCTGTACATTTCCATTTTACAATGTTCCAGGATTCACAAAAAGTTGTGTTTATCCAATGATTAGTATAGTTTTTCGTACCACAAAATCTCAAATTTCCTACGGATTACTGTACTTAAACAAAAATCGGTAAATATACGAAAAAAAAAAGAAAATTTCAAATCAAAAAAATGTGCTTTATATGACTTTTACATGACATTTCAAAAAATTGTAATATAATTAAAATATTGGTCCTCGGAAAATTGTCATTTGAAGCTTTCGATTTTGGAAGATCGTTAGGTAAAAACCAAGAATCGCCCCCCACCCGAGTATCACCCCCCCCCCCCAAACCAGTGTGTGCTATCGGTACGGTTTCGGTAAATTTACCGGTAACGTATCGGTAATTTACCGGTAAACTACCGGTAAATTTACCGAAAACAATCGGTAATTTTAAGGATAATTTTCGGTTTTTTTTTCAAGTTTTGTAACCGGAGAACCGCGACGATTTAGAACCGCGACATTTCAGAACCGCGACATTTTAGAACTGCGACGTTTCAGAACTGCGAAGTTTTAGAACCGCGACGTTTGAGAACCGCGACATTTTAGAACCGCGACGTTTGAGAACCGCGGCATTTAAGAACCGCGACATTTTAGAACCGCGATGTTTCAGAACTGCGACATTTCAGAACCGCGACATTTTCGAACTGACCCCCACCACGTTTTTTTTTGAGAGTTAGAATGGGGGGGGGGGGGGGCAATAATAGGTGGGAGGGGGGTGTCAGTTGAATGTTAAAATCATGGGATTCGTGAAATTATATTTTTCAGAAACAGGAGTTTGTTACAAAGCACGAATAAACTATTGGAATCGTCAATAATTCAAATTCGAATAGGAAAATTTTGAAACAGAAAAAAAATTTAAGCAATTGTCACTTTTTTAATTCTCGAAGTTTTCTGATTTCCATTCCCAGTTCACCAATGTATTCCTAAAATTACTTTCTGGCCTTTTTCATCAAATATTCAATATCCATACCCATTTTTTTTCTTGCAATTTGTCGGATTTTTGTGGAAAAAGTCACCTTGAAAATTAACAAAATT